CCTATTTCACTAGAGAATACATTGAGCACTTGCAAGCAAAACAAGTTTGCAACAATTCCTGAATCGATTGCTACCCTCAACGCCACCAAACATCATACTCGACTCTTGCAAAATCACATCGGCCAGACTAGACTCAACATTTTGTTGTTGAGAAAAGGTCAAGGGTAGGCAGGCGAGTGCTAGTATATGGGGAAAAATCATATTATTTATTCCTGTTATTCTCGAGCTGAGATGAAAAGGACCTTTTCAGTACTTGCGAAAACATATTCCAAACGATTTCTTATTATAAAGATATCTACAATTACTATCACTACCTACAAAAGATTACCTCCTTCCTCAGCTTCCATTTCATCCTCTGCATGGTCTCCATCCTCCATTTTCACATCTTCAACTGGTTCTTGTTTGGCCTGAAATAGGGAATCAGAGATTTTACTGGAAAAGATCGAAAACAGAAGTTATCCGACCTCAGTCACATCCATTCGTTCTTCACTGTTCTTTCCTGCATTAGCTGACATTCTCTGGAATTTCCATATAAAATTAAAAAACTCAAAATGAAAGCTCTAAAAGCGAGAATTCGGATTGAGCGCACAAAATGAGAATGGAGGGGACGCGACGCCAGCTGCGAAAGTCGCATCCGCGCGATTTTCCCGCGTAGGGGCGTTTTCAAAAGCGGTAGCTCAAAATATCTGCAATCGCAGAACGAAGTGCATGAACCGGATTTTGACGCCTATTTCTCACCCACCTGCCAACTGTCGCGTTCCGGTTTTTGTGGACTGCTGCCACCTTGAAACATGCTCTTTGGGGTTTTGTTTTTCAATGAATTCGACGAATTCGGGCATTTTTCGATTGCAACCCTGTGGTACAGTGAATTGCTATCTAATTTGGTCGTTCTTTTTTCAGATGGAAATTGATGATGGAGAATGTTCGTCTTCAGGTGATGAAAGACAAGAAGATTTGGAACAAATACGACATTCTGCGTGAGTTTATTTTTAACAAAATCTCTTTTGACATCTTTCTATGGCTTCTATCATTATCCGTTACAAACGCAAACATCTTGATACACAAATACACTGCTTCTTATCGAGACTTTTCCAGGGTTTTAGACCTAGACTTTGATTCTGAGGATGCTGCGCAAACTATTTTTCGAGTTGTTAGCGTTGATAAGGAACCAAGTCGAAGCAATGCCACAAGGAGCTTTACTGTACAAGGCTCCCATTTGCGAATGTATGTTTACATATTTGATTGCCTAGATGTACGGTATGCCAAAAGAAGGTAATTTAAATGAAAGTCTTTGGCTCATAATGAAAACAGTAAATGTGGTATTAAACCTCAACGCAGTCTATCGTGAGTTTTAGCTGTTTCCAGGTTTCGAAATAAGAAAGCTTGAATGTCGCATGTTTAAGCAGATGAAGATTTGAAATGCTTGCTTGAACCGTCTTTTTTTTTTCATTCTGTAAAAATTCTATGCATGAAATGATTTTCATTATTCTTTCTTTCTTTTGCCATTAATGTGTCTAATCTATGTTAAATATGCAATTTCTTGAAATGAGTTGTTTGGACTTCTGTTCCACTCGGTTTCATTCTTCTTTTCATAACACTATCATTTTTATACCAGTGTCCATACTAAAACTGATCAATGGGCCATTCGTGTTCATGAAAACAATAAGACTAGGGATGAAACAAACGAACCATCAGAAAACTCCTTGTTTTTGAATAGCTAGAATGAGACATCTCTCAGTTCCTTGCTTCTACATAAATTTGGATTTTTCTTAATTGTGATATCTGAGGCAGTGTGAAACAGTCACTATTTGATGCGATATCATCATCTTGTTCTCTCACAATTCTTTATTTTTTTGGGAAAAAATGGCAGCTAAAGACTATCATATGTTAATTAAAGACAACAATACCGGTTTTTGGTTATCACTTTGATCAGTAACTCCTCATATCACACCTTATTCGGTGTTTTTCCTTTGCATGTTAGTGACTTCAGTTGAGTTATAAGAAGCTTTGAAAATATTTTCTCACCTTTTAACATCGCATTGCTTTAAAGGTATTTTTTGAATACACACTTGAAGCCTTGTTTTGTATTTTGGGATGTATTCTTCATTGTTACAGCTATATAACCCGTGTATTCTAGAGAACTCAAAAGCCTGGACAGGAAATCTTTGCAAAAATCCATAGCTAACACACTTGAGATGTGTGATCTAGCAAAAGCAACGTTGGATATGGTAGCAAACAAGAAGTGGTTAGACTTGAGAGGGCCTGTCGGAAAGAAGTTGAAGTTAAACTCTAATTCTAAATAATTTATTGCACAGTTGTATTAGGATCTTGTTTTATGTACATTGTTTCACGTTATTGTTATAAAGAATGCCTTGATACTTGTATATTTTCGCTTACAGTCTTCGCTCTAGTTCTATCTTCCACTGCTGTTTTTTGCATTGTTTTGTATGTAGTAATGTACTTTAATCGTTGCCTAGATGTTCAAAGGGTTGAAGTCTAAGCTGGAAGATGAAGCAAAAAAGCTCCAAGCATCTGTGCAGCAATACAGCGAACAATTTAGCCAACAAGTAGAATCAATCAGACATGGAACGGTATCATTTTT